CAGGTACCCGGTTACCCTCCGCACGGGTCGCACCTCACGGTCAACGAGGCGCCCACTCTGTGGGATGGGTGACCTCTCTTTTTACTACCTTCTGCAGACGAAGCAGTGGGTCTATTTATATCCCCCCGACCCACTGGGGGTGGTGCCTTTGTGTAGCTACTGACTTACCTTTCATGAGACATCAAACCAGTGGCATACTCCAGTAGTAAATATTCTCTTAAATTTGAGCCGAATCTGTGTAAGAAAAAGAGACCAGGCCAAAATTATCTTTTACAAAGCACGTCAAAATACAAATTGATTTGACCTAAAAATTACACTCACTTAATCCAGATCCTGAACCTGTGGCAGCATGACCTCCCTTACCTCAGACCCTGATCACACAGCCTTTGTGAGATGGACATTATATTATCTACTTTTTTTCTCCAATACTTTCTTGAACCCTCTGCAAGAAGTGCATATTGTTCGCTAGTTTAGCTGTATGCCAGTGTATTGTGTTGGCACCCAGTACACGGTACGCTTATGTATAGCATTCTGTTGCTATAACTTGTTGCTTGTTCTCCTAGGATCATGCTCGGAGATGATAAATTTTAATCATATCACAAAGGCTGTAGCATCTCCTGTTGTAGTCAAAATATTGCAGAAGTTTGGGAAACAATAGAGCACTGAACTCTGTTTTCCTGACCATACAGGCATATCTCTACATTTATTTCCTATATATACTTGTAGAAACCATTTGTAGTTTGCTGCTGTGACACATTTGCAATCACCAAAAAGAAAAAAAGTATCAACAAATTTTTGGTGTTTTTCAAGATGAAAAAAAAAATGCATTATGAGAAATTAGCCTGGTTTAAAAAAAAAAAAAAGTCTAAAAATTTTGCTTGATGTTGCACTCTTTGATGAAGAAAAAGTAAAGACCCATGAGAGCGTTCTCTTCCATCACCATCAACCGCTTCCAACTCCTTATGTGAAATAACAACAAAACTGAAGAAAACATGAGCACTCCACTAAACTGCATAATGAAGAGAGACAAAAATCTCAATGACTGGATTGATTACGGCATCAACGAAAGCAAGTATGTGGGGATAGAGAGTAGTAACCTTAAAGAAGAAACACAGGTTACAATTGGTAACTTCAGTCGCAGAACATGAATCTGAAATATGTGTCACAACGCGATGGAATCAGGAGCTCGTGAATTTTTGAGCATGTGGAGTTATTGGTATCATCTTAAAGCTTGTTCAGTTGTCTTGATATCCATGAAAAAATACCCATCTATCTTGAATAGACGTCGAGATACTGGAGATTGAAGAAGGTGGGGTCCCTTGGTTTCAAAGGTAGAATTAGCTAAAAAATGGCCACCAAAGTTTGGTTATTTCCATAGCTACATAGTCCGTGGAAACTGAAAACTTACATTATTTGTGCCTTTCATCAACGTTTTTAAATAAAATCCACCAATAAATGAGTTCTTAATTGGACAAAAATGATGTTAAGCCAAAAAACAAAAATTCGATAAAAATTGCCAAAATGCCAGTTTCTTCGATCTCATTTTTTTAATGAGCGTCTGATTTCACCATGATGCCTCACCTATAGTCTTGTGTAAAAGTTTTGTGAGACAAGATTAGTATTGTAACTTACGGTAACTTCTGTGGGTCCAGCTGTCCACAGTGGTGTAACACATCAGCCAAATGTGAGACAAACCACCAGCTGCGATTGCTCAAGAAAGAGCTGAATGACAATAGAAGTAGAAAAAATCATGCAATAAGTCATAGATAGAAAGAGTTTATATTCAAACTTTAAGATATACAAGGTAAACATCATGTATATCTGGTTCTCATCATGACCTCCCCTGTTTGGACTATTGAGAGCCTATTTTCTTTAACTCTTTCCGGACGTAGTTGTTTTGGGGTCTAGACGTATTTAACTTGTGGCTTGACTCGGTTACACATGTGATGTACAAAATAACTTCATATAAGCATAACCATCACTCAAAACGTAACATATGATACATCAAACTGAAGGAAATTGAATAAAGAATACATTCTAACATGAAACAAGGATTAATTTTGAACATAAGTACGCATTACAATGGTTAGAAATGGTGATGGTGGTGAGAAAAATACATTTTGATGGAAAATATTACACACACTAAACATGTAAAAGCGAATCAGTATAGCTATCTTATCATATACAGGCCAAGAGAAGACTCCATAAATTTCTGAAAGAGTAGTTTTTTATTTGAATGCAATATTCCAATTTTGGTTTGAATTATGATATTTATACTGAGTCTGGTTAGATCGTTTTGTTGATGCAAGGCCGCAAGAACTAATTCACTCATTTTCGCCAGACGACGCTTTGACAAAGTGAAACTAGATGTTTTCATTTTCTAAACCCTTTCCAAGTTTTCAATAAGAATAAAAAGTACTCATAAATAATGGATCATGTTAAAACGAAACATAACAGAGGTACCCCACCATAGCCGATATATCTGCGATACGTCCGGAAAGAGTTAAATGCCAAGTCCCATACTTTGACAAGGATGAGTTTTAAACTGCAAATGTGGCCATATAAAAATATCTCTACCAACACAAATGATGCATTCAGGTTCTGATTGCAGATATTCTGTTCGACTGCTACAGCTACATGGTCTGTTGCCCAATTAAACTGAGAACTCTACATCCTTCAGGACACAATTTGGTCATCACAATGGCTAAAGAAAGGTAACAAAACAGAGCGATAGACAAGAAGTTGTTCCTCTGGCTATTTGATTGAGTTCTTGTTAAGCAACTGTTCAGAATGAAAATAGTTACGTCCAACCAGTGACAGAATTCAGAAACCCCCCCCCCCCCGGGCCAGTGCCACTGACTAAAGTGTCTTTAGGCCATTCCCAAAGGGGAGACATTTCTCGTACTTGTGCACAGTAGAATTGTAAATGGGCTGATCCAAAACTGTCATGCTCATAACTGTTCCTGAATTACAACAGGGAACTGTTGCTTTTTCTTTCCTAATCCTTACTATCGTCATTTTTCTCTACTTCTTTTGTATGTTTGTCACACTCTTGTGACCCGCTATTTCCGGGGTGCCTTAATAGTCAATGCAGACTTTGTGCAGCTGAAGCTAGAGAGGTGAGCAGAGTAAGTCTGATTCCCTGTAAGGACTTCTCTGTCGACATCCACCCCTTGGCGCTCATATGACCTTATGCAGTTGCAAGTGCCGAAAAACCTCTACTAAAACTAAAACTAAGAATTCGGACAACAGTAATACAACTAATACAACAAAAAAATGGAAGCAGACCAAACAACCTGAATACACTACCCACCTAATATTATCTAAGAAGTGCAAAGAAAACACCTGGCGACAGCAGGATGAGAAGCAAGCCAGACTTACCCGAGACATCCCTCACTCACTTGCAACAAACACAATCATAGGTAAAAATCAAACAAAGCATAGATCACCCCTAGTAATATTTATTCTATTTTTGGTAAGTTTTATGGCACTTGCAAAACAATAAGGTCATGCAAGTGCCAAAGATTACAGTTGTTATAAGAGAGTAACAAGCACAAAAATGGAGGAGAGATAAGGATGACAGAAGTTCAATAGGAAAGAAGGAGCAAACCACACCACGGCACCCGCCAACCACCCCCCATAACATGTATGACTGACAAGGGAGCACAGATGGATGAAGCGGTCTCTATCCTATCTGAGACAGAAGAGCCTCCTACCAGCTGTCCTTGATGACCTGGTGAATGTCAAACTCCATGGCAGCTTGGAGGATGTTGTCCAGTTCCCTGACCTGGCCTGTGGGCTGACCGAACATCGACTGACAGGTCTGAAAAGACACAACAACCGTTTGATTTATTTTTTGAGTAAAGAAAAGCACATCCACTCAACAACAGGCATTTAGTGCTGGGAAGAAGAACAAAACAAAGATATAAAAGTGATAGTGATAGAAAAAAAGTTGTACTTACCAGTAACTCTTTTGTTTAGTAAGAGTTTTACGGCACTTGCAACACAACAAGGACATCTAAGTGCCGAAGATTAGAGGTGTTACAAGAGAGTAACAACACAAAAAAGAAGGAGAGATAAGGATGATAAATATCTGATAGGAAAAGAAAGAGCAAAACCACACCAGATCACCTGCCAACTACCCACCAAGTAACTCTCTCCAGAATTTGTTTTTAGTTGAAAAGTTAAGTAAATTCTAAAAAAAGAAAAAGCAAACTGAAATGACAGAAAAGGCAGATGTAGGACCTTCGAGCCTAATCACATACCTAAACATCAAATTCAGAACCATTTGATTTAGTCAAAATGTGAAAACTGAATCTTTGTACGAAACAATGATGAAAATGTCATAGAAACAATACACAGAAATCTACAACAAGGAAAACAACTTCCAATAAACATAGTGAAAGCATTAAAAAGTAAATTAGGTCTCTGAGTCCAGACTCAATGTGCACACATTAAATTATGGGACATCTTACTATTCTTACAAGATGAGATGTGCTCAGTCAGTTTTTACCTTTATGTCAGAGCCAAGGTCATTGAGCCTTGCAGTGGGGTTTTGAAACAACAATTTTGAGACCAGCATATGGTACCATGTCTCACATCTGTTCTTCATCTCCCTGAACACAGCCTCATCCCCACAGAGAATCTATGAAAAGAAACAACAAAAATTCATACAGCTTTAAGTGGGCCACATCTCAAACTACGGTGAGTTTTTTCTGAAAGTCAGAGACAGGTTGAAATTGTGTACAAAGCAGAAAATGTTTATTCAGCCAATCATCAATCTCAGCATAGTAACAACAACTCATAAAGTAACAAACGTGACAGTACTTTACTTTACTTTTCCGATCCAGCGTGACAGTAAAACTAAACAGCTAAGCCAGCCAAATTTTGGTACCAACAACAATAGCGCTTCACATTTTTCACAAAATTTTATTACTAAATCAGGCATGTAAAATATCAAAATATTTAGACTTTGTAGCATGTACAAACCTTGGTACAGCAGACAAATCTATGAATTGCTGGCCTAATTTTTGTTGTTGTTGTCTCATCTCCTTTCTGAGTGCCATGTTAGTGATCTTATGCATATCAGACATGTCAAATGAGAAAGTTAGAGATCTAATCAGCAACTAAAGAACATCTAAAATTACTCATTAAAAAAAAGGATTGTACACAAAGGGGCATGTTTTAAAGCAATTCACCCCACTTATACCTAAACGAGAGTGTCAAAATTCAGGTATGAGCAGCCGTAACTACATATGTGAAATAATGTCATAGTGAGTGAAAGGTCTGACAATTTGCTGTCATGAAATAAAACCCAAAATATTCCTTTGTAAACAGAACTGCCAAATGAATATTATTGTAGACGTCATATTTTCTTACTATCTCAGTCACTTCACTGTATGTTTCAGACATTGCGAGAACAAACTGCTCATTATTTTTAACAAAATTGCAGACTTAATTTACCAGCCAGTCACATCTTCTGACATACATCAGACACTGATTTTTGTTTTGTTACCACTTACAAATGAAAAATGTGGAGACTTGATACAAAATGAAGGGCAGACTTTTAGAAGAACTTTAAATCTCAACACCTAAACATTGTCATATGAACCTTACCTGTACTATGGTCTCCAGATGTTCGTATGCTGCAAATTCACCTGCCTCATACCTCCGCACACATTCCTCCCTCCAGTGGCGCCACTTCATTTCATACTCCGCAGCAAACTGGGCATGCTGGTGCTAAAAGAGAAAAACATGGTGACAGCTAGCCACTTTTATGAAACGTAAGACTTTCATTCCATGAACTTAAACACAGAGAATTCTTTAAAAACAAAAATCTAAATACATTCAAAAGGAAATCTAAATTTGAATTACTTGAAAATAGGTCAATTTCCAGTTGTATTTCAAAGTAGTAGTCGATTTCCAAGTCACTGCAATACTAAAATTCTTAAAAGGAGAAAAGAACATAATAAAAAGAGAAATCTTAATGGCAAACAGGCAAACTATAATTACTCCATATTTTGTAAGAAATTGGGACTGTATTATAATAAATTTGTTAAAATGGGCTCACTCTGACTGCAGTCTCTTTTATGGGATTAAATTTTTTTTAGACAATTATGTTTCTGGATGTGGCTACGAAACAATCAGATGTGATACTGAGGCATTTTTCTTTTCAGCATTTGATCAAGACAAAAAAAACAACAACAATTTTTCAGAGTAAAGAAGAGATGATATCCAAAGAAACATGTTCCTGAGGATGTGTCAACATAAAAAAAGAAGAAAAGAACTCAGCATCAACAACCTTTTCTTTTCCTCAGTAAGACTCATGGACTAAAGTTCCATTTCATTATTCTGGGAAGAACAATAATGTGTATATCAAAATTGACTAAACAGGGTGACACGTGGCTCATTAACCCAAGAGCGAAGACCGAGCCTCTGAAATCAAAGTGCCTGATTTGATCCTGTGTTCATACTGGCACAGTACGAGGAAAACAGCTTTTTTTTCAGGTTTTCTGAACCCATTATCCTAAGGTAAGGGCGTTAAAGTAACAAGATGAAAAGCTTGATACCTCTCCTGTACACCGTAACCACAGTAAATGGAAGAAATAGAAGAGCAGGCCAGCTGCCAAGGGAAAATTCTAATTAATCCTTACTTAGCATAGATAAGCAAACTATCTCTGGAACAGAAAGGTGAGGGGAACTACACCCTAGAAAGAAAAATTCTCACACATGTAGTAAAATCTTGGTATAATGTACTCTCTGCGAACCCAAGATTTTAAATACCATAGCCATGGTACATATTAGCCACAAAAAATGAAGGCGTTGGGGGAGGATACCAAGTAATATTTATTCTGTGTGTGTGTGCGCATGTTTGTGTGTGTGTGTGTGCGTTTGGGGGAAAAATAGGGGATGCAAGCGTCTACTTGCAGTAAAACTGATGTATGAAAAGCTTGCCCTCTCACTGACACTGTTTACATTTCATTCCTTAGTGCAGTTAAGCTATCGTTTTTGTCATTTTCTTTATTCTCATAATGTATAAGTACAATGAATGCTGCAAGCGCACACTTTGATCATTAAAATCCCGTGAAAAGCGTTTTACACAGAGATGTATTAAACATAGTGTTTACAGAGTAAAAATACTACACGAGTCTCTGGACGTTCAAAGCCGGCTATGTTATTTAAAAGATTTACTGTACATAAAAATGTGAAAACCAGTTGCATTATGTGTTGAAAATCTTACAGCATTCCTGAAGGGTAATGAAGACGATGGTGTCAATAATTGTGACAAGGGTGGAAGAGGAGAAGAAAGTAAAAAGAGGAGGAAAAAATCATGGAGGAGTAGGAGGTTTGAGCTAAATTCCTCATCATTGACAACTCACGGTCCAGTGTGGCATTTTCTGCAGGAGTTCATCAACGCTGACAAAAGGGTCAGAATGGCTGTAAGGGTGGAGGGACAGGAGTTTGCGTACACTTTCCGTGTTAGCTTGTAAGAGCAGTCGATACACCTGCAGTGTAAAAACCCAGATATGCATACATTCAGAGTGTACATACAGATATTTCAGATTGGTAAGAGTAGGAGTCTTGCGGCGTTTGCAACTGTATAAGGTCATTTGAGCACGAGGAACTCAAGTTGGTTGTTTTCACATTAATTAATAGCATGGCTTGGTTTTACTTTATGCTTGAAGGATGATATTTTTTTCTAATACTTGCATATTTACTTCTTTACTTTATTTTGGCCTTGCTCTTGAACCATCATTGGTGAAGCTGTTTAAACAGATGGTACATAAACTCAAACTTAAAATACCTCACAGATTCTGAGATCAAGCAATTGTCCACAAATTATTTGATCCTGACAATGCCCATAACAAACCAACAAAGAGCAGAGATAAAACTGAAAACAGAGAAGCCCTCACCGCTTCCCAGTAGCTTGGATGGGAAGATGGGACCTCTGCCTGGGTCACTTCCATGGCCAACTGCTTGCCCTCTGGAAAATGCCACTGAAGCCAGTCTAGTAGAGGGGTCAATATCAGTCCACCTGAGAAGAAACCACACAGGCTGAGAGACCACGCTGCTATCATCCAGCAATCTGAGTGTTCATGTAAGCATTTTCTGTGGCTGGCAGTATCCCTCTTACATAAAAAACATGGAAGTTCCATCTTGTCTCCACAATCCACAACAGTTTTTTTTTCAGGGGTCACCAAACTTCTTTCAAAAAGAAAATGTTGAGAGTGGGCCGGACAATTTATTTCTTCAATACAATACACTGAATACATTAAAAAATATAAGACAATCATCCCATTGATCTATTGATACAAAAAATATACACAAAAAAGTTAAGAGGCGACTGGGGGTGAATGTGAGATCTCCATTTGTTGTAAGAAATGTGCGACATGAAAGATTTATTGTCCCATTAAAGCCGAGAAAGAGTAATATACATTGAGTGTCTAGCAACACTGAACTCAGCACAAACACAACTCTTTAGCTGTTACAGTATAAGTTTCTGTGGTCAGAACATAATCCAGCAAAGACAAAGGGATGCATTAGCTTGTGCTGTGTGTGCACAGTTCATTCTTTCAAACTGTGACCACTTTGCAGTTACCCCTAAGTCAATATACCTCTCCAAGTTGCAACTTTAAGACAGTCCCTGTTCAAAAAAATTCAGATGCCAAGAAAAAAAGTATAGTGCTAACAAAAAAAACCCAAAGCCCACTTTTCAAGACTGACTCATTCAAAGTAGAAGCAGTAGAAAGTAGACTCACCAGGAGCTACATCTATAAATATGATCTCGCACAAGCTCCAAATAAGCTGAACCATTTCAAACTCTTGTATGTGCTCCTCATACTTTAGCTTGTGAATCTCATTTCTGCAATCATCTGTGGAAATGGAGAGGACAAAGGAAGAAAACCTTTATACAGTAGTCTCCGCCTAAATGCACGCCATACAAAAGCACGCTCCGTTCAAATGCACGCTTTCGTCATCTGACGGTTTTTTTACTACATAATTTAGACGTCTCTAAACGCACGCTCCGATCTGCGAAACATGCTGACAGGTAAAGCTTGACTAAGGGAAATGTTCACTACGACTACTGTAGCCTACGATCTGCACAGAAATCCTGATATTTGGCGAGACTGCCCCTTACGCCGAACAAAGAGAGTGATGAACAGCGTTTTCCCACCCAACTTTCCACAGATACATAGGTCTAGGACTGGTCGGTGAAATGTTGGGGGTTTGGGAGACTGAAACGTTTTTTGATTGGTTACTGGAAATGCACCTCTTTTGAGAGAAGGTTTCTGACTGGTGTTTGAGTGACTGCGTGTTGGAATGTTTCGTTAGACCTAAGCCTATGATGCGCAACACACGTGAATGCTCGTTCATGAATTTACGGTAGGGCGTGGTCGCTTGAACAGCCACGTGGCTGGGCCGTCGCCTCTATGACTATCACCAACAATTTCTTTTCAGGCTATCTGTTCCCGACATTTTATGGTTCATTCATTACATCAAGTCTGTCTCCACACCCCCCCCCCCCCCCCCTATTCAACGCCTTTCCAGTCTTAACCGCAGTCGGGGAATCTTTCACAAAACAGTCAAGTGTCGCCACATTATTGGCCAAAGTGACCCCCACCCCAAAGGGAGGTAACTAGTATACCAAGGCAATGAGAAGACTGCGTCCCTTCCTCCCTTTGCTGAGGTTCATGTAAACGCACGCTCCGTATAAACACACGCTAAAGAGCCCTCCCGAGCACCGTGCGTTTAAACGGAGACTACTGTATATGGAACTTAATGCGTTCAATGTTTTAAAAAGTTCATCTCGTAACCCTAACTCTCCTGCCATCTGGTGCGAAGTTGTAAGTGGGACAAAGCAAGCCAGAGGTATGACAATACACATCTACATTTTTGCTCTTTACAACATGAACATCTTAAGATGAAGTAAAGTAGCTTGCAACTTTCTAGCAGTAACATTTATAGCTCACAGTCAGATTAAACACACACAAAAAAGATCAGACTCACTATTTCCATTATGTAACCACATAATATCCTTAATTCATGAATTATAAGTACCTTATAAACTATCACTAAAAGCAAACATCACACTTCCAAAAAAGGTGTGGATCTAAACTTTTTCGTAGAAAAAAAGTCGAGGGTGCATGCTCTCAAGATAACTCAGTTTAAATGAACAAGATAAATACCTGAAATCTGCATCAGTTCCATGCTACAGGCTTTGAGGACAGCTCTATACTGTTTGCTGGCTTTTTTCAGCCTGTGGAAACCATGTAATGTAATAGAAACATTTACATAAGTAAAATATATTTCACCTAGGCTTAGATCGAAAAGACCACAAAGTTGAAAGCTTTTAATTCTTATCCCCCCCCCCCAATTTTGATGACGTTGAAATGAAACCAAATCACGAAAAATAAATCTCGTAAAGTGTATTTCTCAAGGACATAACATCCGACAGGCAGAAACCGAACCCAAAACCCTTTGATAGTGAGTACAGCAGCATAACCATTCAGCTAAACATGAGTTGTAAACATTCTTGACAATAACAAAACACTGAATTAAGATAAACAAGGCCCGAAACCAAGAGGGGGAGGAGGATGTATGATAAACCAAATTTGCAAAGTTACAGACGGATTTTTAAAAAACAGCTATAACTATAAAAGACATGACTTTCCACATATTTTCTATATTGGACACAGCACAACTGCAGCCTGAGTCAGAATAAGCAGAATATCAGATAAAGAGAAACTGAGTAAAAGGAAACTGTGCTAACATCCACTCATAAAACAAGAAAAACCACAACAGCGTGATTATCAAAGCAATTTTATGAATGTGAGCGAGTCTTTTGAGAAATGACAGGAAATTATACTCACTGAGTGAAAAGCATTGATTCTGTCATACTCTTTACTTGTCCTTGGAGCATGACAAAAATATCTGAAGAAAGATAAAACAAGATCCAACATTAATCCAGATGCATACAAGTTCCCAGGCACTACCTTTACATTGATTCGAACACACAAAAATACACAAAAACAAGGTAAGTCTTTCTAAACACACTAAAAGGAAACCATGTATACCTGTGTGTGTTTTTACGGTCCTGTATAGCTAAGAAAAATTTTCCTCTGGGATAATAAAGTATTATCTTATCTTACAAAAAACAACAACAAAAACACACATAAGCAGCCCATGGATTATGACCAGATTTTGCCTGGACCAAAGTTTGTATTCAATGGCCAACTTGTGTATCAGTCAAAAAACTATGTACTGTATGTAAGAGGCGTCAGTTAGTATTTTCATAAATGTAAAAAAAGCATTATTTCATGTAAATGCCTGGAGTTTGTCCAGAGATTTACCATGTCATATGTTAGTACAGAGGGAATAAGGGAGGGAGGGAGTCAATTACTGAATAAGAGGGGGGGGGGGGGGGGGGAGATAGAGAGAAACAGAAGGGACACAAAAAGAGATTGTGATGGGCTGACTTGATGCTCAAATGTATATATTTTGTATTACAGAAGCTGGTGGAAGCACATTATCATTTTTTTGCAAAGGAGAATCAGTAAAGTATATCTTATATTTTTATAAAACAGTAAGTACATTTTAAGCAAATTTTTCAGACACACAGCAATATAGAAACCATGATGTCATGAAGTGCAAAGGCAACATTAAGTTCTGAGAAACAAACCTATGCATTAGACTCAAATTTTCTCAATAAGAGGGTACTTCATAATATGTATTTTCAAGTCATCTTTAACCTGGGACCTGTCTCCACAATGAAATGTATTTATGTAAACCAAAAGGCTTTTAATATGTATCCAAGACACAACCTCCCCCCCCCCCCCTAAAAAACCCAGGGTTGCCTTCAATATCAAGGTCCCTGAACATCAATGTTAAAATTAGCATTGCATAGACCTAATACATTCATACGTTTGCCCAAACTGGTTCATATTACCTCTTCTAAACAGATATTTACAATGTTCCAAGAATGAAAATTAATAAACAATCAGAGCCAAAAAATTTGGTTGTGTTTCCCAAATTCACATGGCAGTAATTTTAAATGGAAAATATGTTAATTAAAAAATGCAAGGCTATAGAATAACTTTGTGCATATAAACATCAAGTTATCACTTACTGTGTGTTTCATTCACAAGTTTTCTTGCAATATCATGCATTTCTGCATTCCACTGTACATCAAATATTGCCTGATCCCTCTGAGTAGCTTGAGGAATTTGCTTACCTGAAGCATGAAAAAAATAATAAAAACCCGTTATTAGAGTAAAAACATGACCACTGCAGGGAGATTCATTACAATTATAAACAACAACACAAACTGACTATATGCAAGTTTCTCACACTCACACAGCTTCTCTGAATCTCAACTACCAGGACAATAAAACAATTTGATTTAAGTTAACACAAGAACAAGTTTCATATATAGAAAGTCTTAATACATATAATGCTTAGGACTAGAGCGACACAAACGACATTCTTATTTCCATATAAAAGATTACAATTAAGAAGAAAAGTGGTGAAAATCGACTTAACTGTAGTTAGGTAACTGGGTGCTTTTTCGGTAGTTCCCACCCCCCTCATTTGAGCCTGACCTAGATCTATACGTTTGATTCACGGCAAGCTAAGATATCAAACCTAATAACTGCAAAACATTAAATTGTGGTAAAATTCATATTTTTATTAGGTCTGCAGGGCTTGAAATAGACCGAGGCACCGCGGCAATTTGCCTTGGTGCCTTTGCAATTTGCCGTAATGCCCATAAAATCAAGGGGTTAACGGTGGCAATTTTTGCCGTGCCCTTGTTTCTTGTTTTTTAAAAATGTACCACCATGAAAATAAATCAATATTTGTCCTGTGCTGTCACTTTTGGAAAAAAAGAAAAAGTTATACAAGCGTCTTGTCGGGTTCGCCGCCGTGGCAGGTCAGTGAACCATAGTCCCAAGGTACCGCATCGTGTGAGCACCGGTTGTTGGGGTCACCAAAGTTCATTCAAAGTCTGACGCCGCGAAGTATGGGACTCCGGAAAGGGGGGCATTATTGATTATTTTTAATTTTTAAGATGTA